GTCTTACAGTGCCTAAAAGGGGGTCACAAGAAACATGGGGACAAAACTGTTAGTGGGGCCTGTAGCAAAAGGAACAAGCGTAATGGTTTTGAACTAAAAGAGGGTAGATTCAGACTAGAGATAAGGAAGAAATTTGTTATGATGAGGGTGATAAAACAATTGAAGAGGTCGCTCAGAGAGGTGGTGGATGCCCCATCCCTGAAAACAGTCAAGGTCAGGTTAGATGAGGGTTTGAGGAACCTAATACACTTGAAGATGTCTCTGCTCATTGCAGGGTGTTTGAAACTAGATCATGTTTTACCATAATGCTTTGAGTGGGAAAGAACCTTAAAGATCATCTCTAGTTCTAAACCCCCTATCATGGGCAGGTCTTGGTATAGCTCAGTATGTGATAGGGCCTGTGATTCAGGTGCTGAAATCAGGTGGAAGTCTTGTGGTTTGTGTTGTCATGGCATGGGGGGGCAGAGGGGAATGTGGGATGAGGTGTAGTCTCCACAGTCTTGTTCTTCAGCCTGATACCCAGAAGCATTTTGTAGAAACCAAGTACACTGCATACAAAACGTGCCCACATTGCCCATACAAAGGGCCCACACAGGCTTGACCACAGTCCCATCCACAGCAATTCACACAGTAGTGGTTATAAAATATACCCCAATTTTGCTTCTAATCAGGGGATGAGAATTCAGTGTGAAATTGCAGGGACAGTTTGATAGATTTGTTCTTCCCAGAAGGGATGCCTTTTGGTAAGCTCTATGTCCTCAGATATGCTGAGTGCTGACGCTGATATTAAGATTGTGATGCAATGACACTGCTATATACAGCTATATACAGCTACCCTGCAGCTAAATACACTGTCACCAGCAATCCAAAAGAACCGTTTATGTTGCACTCAATGAGCTGTGCTATTTGTGAATCTGACTGGCTCTTTTGATTGCAACCAGACCTACAGTTCATGGACTGCTTGTGCATGTGGTGTGGGACCTGTAGTTATGACTTTGCAACATGAGGAATACCTTTACGTCATCACCAAAGATGACCTTTAAAGCTCCCTTCCAACCCAAACCATTCTATGATTCTGTGTGTGCAGCTGACCATTACAGCACATTTGCAGGACCCATAACATTGTAATGTTCATGAGACTTAACATTGGCAAAGACAACCTCAAAAATGCATAGCAAAAAGAACAATGTCTAACTGAACATAAGCATGAAGTGCAGTAGTGTCAGCAGCTATGTGCTGCAAATCAAAACTGTTGGTCAACACAATTACTTACTGTCCTTCCTGTTCATTATTTTTCTTTCTAACTAAATCAAGAAGAGAAGGCATGGTCACACTGGGAAGTCATGCCCATTCTAGTAAAGAAGAAATTACTATTTTGAGGAGAATTCCACCTAGTTTAGGTGGCTAACTTAAGACATGGAAGTCCCAAGCATTCCTGCAGAGACAATAAAAAGATAAACTACTCCAGATGTGGAGAACAAACTCAATTTAAACGCCTTCACTCTCTCTTCTCTATTGAAACAGACACCACTTGAATGCATTATATTCATTCCCCTGCCCCCAGTTTGCGCTGGGAATCTGGTAAGTCACAAAGTTATTCTTTTGTAACTTTAGAATGCAGACATTATTTATGGGTCTCTGAAGGTATACCAAATACAAGACCTCTGCTGTATGCACATGTCCATATTCAGTCATCTGCACAGGCTACTGTGAGTGACACCTTACTGGGCCATTTCTACAGGATGAGTGTTGGTCTAAGAAGCAGGACTTTCTCTGCCTACCATAACACCAAGGTTCTGACAACTACTGACAGAGTTTCTGTCTTTCACTGACAGGTGAAGTCTACTATTACAAGAGAATTAAGTCCCTTCTCCGAGAAGAAAAATGGCCCTCTGAGTATCCCTGTCAGGCACATATTTAAGATATTATCAGATGCACATACTGAAATTGTATCAGCAAATTAATTCCCAGGACACCTGCCAGAAATTTTTAATAGCAGTTGTAAATCTCCAAAAATGAAAAAAAATCAATATAAGCCAATAAAAATGTGCTTAAAAATAATTTGAAAGGAATTAACCACATATACTGGCCATGTATTTTCATTGAATGTGAACTTTTAAATTTTAAGGTCACCTGGCATGGTGTCTACTTGATTTTCTTGTTTTCTAAATACTCTTGACATTAAATAGGTCAACAAAAGAACTAAAGAAAACTAAAGATTTGGAAAGGAGATCCATTAGGAAAAGGTGTGAAATAAAAAAAGGGGAAAAGACATCAGTATTAGACAAAAACGTGTCCAAGAGTCTTTCCAATACATCCAGATCATACACATTGGCTTTTCTGGTTGCCAAAATGACCCCTAGTGCTGGATGACAGTTACTGTATAGCAATTTGGTGTGCTGGTGTGAAGGACTAAATCAATTGCTGAGACTGGAAAGGATGGCATAAAAAAACCTAGCAAATATGGGAATTAAAAAAGTTACCACGTCTTACTCTACTGTCAAGTTGTGGAATGTATTGTCCAATTTGGTGCTTTGTGAAACAGAGGAAGAACTGCCTTCCACATTACTTCTACAGCTGCTCTGAAAACTGAAAAGCTGAATTTGACTATATCACTCTGGCTGTTAAAAAATCTGGCTCAAAGTGGGGTCAGAGAATTATTTCCCTAGGTTTAGCTCCACACAAGAAAATACTTCCTTCCTCCAACAGGGCACTGCAAACACCTAAGTCCTCACCCAAAACTGTGGCTACAAATACAGGCAGAATTTAAATCCTCATTAAATAAAGACAGAAAAATGCTTTAAACCATTTAAAAAAGTTAGTTTATTGACAATATGTAATCCTGAATCCAGATAATTATATTCTAGACAGGTAAAAGGTGTGGTAATTGAAGAACTCACCTCCTTTCTGTTAAAATTTTTGCCAGTTGTATGATACCAAATGTAATTCCAAACTTCAAAGTCAACATTTCCATTATTATTATCACTGTATAAAATATTCATTTCTTTAACTGGAAACTGTTTGTGGCAATTTCTGCCCATGAATAATGGGATGTTTCACGCCACGCCCTGCCGTTCAGCGCTCAGGGCAGTCGGTCAGCACAGGTGGGCCCAGGCGCTGCCCCAGGCGCTCCGCAGCGGTCTCCTCGCCGCAGCCACGCCACGACGCCAGGCCGGCAGCGCAGGCTCCTCTGCTCCCCCTCCCGGGAGGCCGCAGCTCAGCCGCTGCCTCTCTGGCAGAGCAAACAGCCTGCTTTTTGCTCCAGAAATGAAGTACGGCCGAGCTGGATGCATGGTGCAAATGAAGGCAGGAGCTGGGAGGGGGCAGAGCTCATCATCCAGCCGCCTGCAGAAGGCAGCCCCACTGGGATTCCTCTCGCCCGCGCTGAGGAAGATCAGGAGGCCCCAGGCCACGACCCTGCTCCATTGCAACCCCCTCTCTCAGACTCTCTCATGTCTGGAACATCCCGACATCCAGACCCTCTTCCCTCCAGTGGCACCGTGGGGCATTTTCCCTAGGAACCAGTCAGTGCAGCAGTACCTTGCAATGTCATTTCCAACTGAGACACCCAAAACTAGCTGATTTCCACCAATAACAGAGGTGTGATCAGATAATAGGGCAACAAAGCAATGCATGAACAATCCCAGTGTAGATAGCAATTTACATTTACTACAACCTGCATGAATGGCATCTGGCATTTTTAATACCACTATTCAACAAGAATTAAAAGAAACAGCTCTAAACTAGGTGGATGGAGGCAGAGTTTCTAAACACAGCTTTTTCAGATTTAAAACCACATTTTTTATACAAGAATAGGCAAAACTATACTGAAGGAGAAACACAAGCAGCTTGTAAAACTGATGACAATGGAGCAAGCCCTTATGAATGCTTCTCAACCCATCAATCATACTGACTCCCAGCCACACCACATCACCATTCCACAGTCTTCGTACTTTGAGACAGGCATGATTTCACACCACATGGGATTCCAAGATCCCCAAGTTTCTGGAAAATAGATTTTGTCCCAGTTTTTATGACAGATGGAGTTGATAGTCTCAGGATGAAAAAAGCGCCAGTTTTGACAGGCAGCAGATACCGATGCCCCTTGTGGTTGGAGACGATGTTGCTCTGGAATTAAGGTAGCACGGAAACGAAAGGCAGTGGGTAAATGCACGACTACTTTGTTTTGCTCCTCTCCTAGTGCCTTAATATTTTTGTTTCTGCTTCCTTATAAATTGAAAGTGTAATAAGAAGGCAGGACTTCAGCAGGGCATTTCGCTTTCAGTTAAAACTAATAACAGATTTTTTGAGACTTTTTACTAGTTGGCAGATCAAGTATCAAAGAATTACACTGGGATCTACTGTAGTTCTGCCAACAGGCACCCTCGTAAGTCTGTGTCTTAAAACCTGCTCAAAAATCTCAGGCGAGAAGCTGAGCTGAATGACTTTAAAATCGTGGGTATGTGGCAAGTGGTAAGTTGTAATACTGAAACTACGGCAAAGGAGTACTTACATGGTCGCACTACACCACTAGTGGTTAGCTTTGCTCTCCCGGAGTACTAGCACACTGAAACCAGAACCTCTGTTTCTACTTCAGCAAGAACAAAGTCGGTCCCACTTTGAGCCTAATCCTCTCTGCCGTTCTGGCAGCGGCTCTGCCCCCACTTGAATCACCGGCACGTTTGGGTACACGCGTTACCCGAGCTAGAGAAGTTGGTTTTCCCCTCCTTGAGGTAGGGAGCAGGACCCGTGAGAGTGCCATGCCCGCGACACGGGCGCGGAGAGCGCTGCCCCGCCGCCCGGCCCCGGCGGTGCTGCCGAGCCCCCGCCGCCGAGCGCCTCTCGCCCGGCCGCCGCGCCGCCTTAACGGGAGGAGGGGCTCCTCGGGGGGCTGTCACTCTCCTTAAGCCTTTCCTTTCAAGCTTTGAATGTGAGCTGCCCTCCAGCCCCCCTCTCTCTTCCCTCCCTCCAGCACATCGTAAAGAGAAGGAGGGAAAAAAAAAAAAAAAAAAAAGAAGGTTTCAACAACAGGCTGGGCCAATGGCAAGTGGCGAGGCAGGGAAAGGGGGCCGAGCGAAGGGAGAAAAAGTGGAGAAAGGGAGAAAGAGAGAGAGAAAGCGCAGGCTGGGGGGGTTGAGTAAAAGAAGAAGCGTTGCTAATTTTTTTTGTTTGTTTGCTTTTCCATGCATGCATAATGAAGCCTAATCAGAGCACGTTGCTGCTGCTTGGAGGGCACTTTTGTATTTAAAGCCTTGCAAAGAAAAAAAGATCCACAGACGGATCCACAGAGCAGCTTGCAGGGCTTGTTGACAACAGAAGCAGCATCAGTCGCCCGGAGAGAAAGAGACCGCGAAGGCTGACTCTTCTCCTTTCCCAGTGCTCTCGTCTTGGTAGCGAGGAAAGACATTTCTTCTCCGCGCTACCCGAAAGCGTGATCCGAACCGAGAAGGACTGAGCGGAGCCGGGACTGTGTATGGGATCGGAGCGGCTGGCATGTGCAGAGATGCTGCGAGCGGAGAGTTAAAAGCTCCCGAGGAAGCAGCAGCAGCAGCTGGGCATTTATTTTGTGGGGAAAAAAAATAAAAGAGAGACGGAACTGCATGAAGAGCAGTACAGCACCATGAGCTCTCCTGGCGCAGCTTGCGATTCCCCGAGCGCACTACGGATCCGCTGTCGTCCGAGCCCCGGTTTGCACTGACTCCCTGCGCCTCCCCGGGCGCCTTCGCCGCCGCCTCGCCGAGCCCGGAGCAGCGGGTGGGCGACACGGGAAGGCCCCCAGGCGCCTGCTTCGTACCGCCGCCCCGCCGGCTTCAGCTGCCGGGGGCTAGAGAGCCCCGGGCCCGGCGCGCATGGATTGATGCGAGGAGACCTCATGCACACGGCCGGCGGGAGTTTTGGAAACTTTTCCACGGGCGGCAGCTCCTTCTCCTTCTCGTCTACCAGCGCCTCTTCCCAGCTCGCCCGCGGCTGCAGCCAATCCCCCTGTCCGCGATGGTGGCCCGCTCGCCCGATCGGCACGGAGGCGGCGGCCGGCGCTGGCCGCGGGCGGCCGCCTGGCTGTGGCTGGCGGCGGCGCTGGGCGCCGTGTGGCCGCCTCGGGGCTCGCTGGTGCAGGGCCGGCGGCTGATCTGCTGGCAGGCGGTGCTGCAGTGTCAGGGGGAGCCCGAGTGCAGCTACGCGTACAACCAGTACGCCGAGGCGTGCGCCCCGGTGCTCCTGCAGCAGCAGCCGCCGCCGGCGGGCGGAGGGGACGGCCCGGCGGGCGCAGCAGGCGCGGCCGCCTCGTCCAGGCGGCGGTGCCCTAGCCACTGCATCGCGGCGCTCATCCAGCTCAACCACACCCGGCGTGGCCCGGCGCTGGAGGACTGCGACTGCGCGCAGGACGAGAACTGCCGCGCCACCAAGCGCGCCATCGAGCCTTGCCTGCCCCGCACCAGCAGCCCCACGGGCGGCGGCCCCGGGGGCGGCGGCCCCGGCGGCCCCGGCGTCATGGGCTGCACGGAGGCGCGGCGGCGCTGCGATTGGGACAGCCGCTGCAGCCTGGCGCTGAACCGCTACATGACCTACTGCGGGAAGCTGTTCAACGGGCTGCGCTGCACGCCCGAGTGCCGCGCCGTCATCGAGGACATGCTGGCCGTGCCCAAGGCCGTGCTGCTCAACGACTGCGTCTGCGACGGCCTGGAGCGGCCCATCTGCGAGTCGGTCAAGGAGAACATGGCCCGCCTCTGCTTCGGCGCCGACATGGGCGGCAACGGCGCGGGCAGCAGCGGCGGCTCGGACGGCGGCCTGGAGGAGTACTACGATGAGGACTACGAGGAGGAGCCGAGCCAGAAGGGGAGGGACGACGCGGAGGACAATGCGGGCGCCGAGCCCGGCTTCCCCGTGCAGGCAGATAACGCTGGCCGGCCCGCCGGGGCGGCTGGGGCGCTGCTCGCCTCCATCTTGGTGCCGCTGCTGCCGCGGCTCTAGCATCCCTCCCTTCCTGCACCCCTCCTGCCTGCCTGCTTCCCATCGCTGCCTCCCTCCATCGCTGCCTCCCTCCGCACCCCCATCCCCTTCGCCGGGCCGGGCCGGGCCAGGCCCCCCGCGCCGAGCCGCCGCGGGCCTCTAGTCGAGCCCTCCCGCGGCGGCCGGGGATCCGGCCGGCGGGGCCCCTCGGCGCGGAGCGGCTTTACACGCTCTGGCCGCGGATTCCCCGACCCATCGCCCCGGCGCCCCGTCCCCTCGCGTTTCCCCCTCTGCCTCCGCTGCTGCGCGCAGCCCCCAGCCCACTCCTTTCCCCGGCCCAGCGCTGCGAGCCGGCCGCTGGAGCGGTGGTCGGAGCGCAGGGGCCGCTCGTGTTTCGGGTGTTTGTCTCGAGTGTGCACTATGCAATTGCTGCCACCCTGCCTTCGTGTTACTAGCGAGCGGAGCGGCTGACAGAGACTGCGGGCGAGGCCGCTAGCCGCCCCCCGGAACAACCCGGGAGTTGTGGCATGCTGGTACTGGAGGTCTTTTAAGAGTTTTGACATGAAGGTTAGTAAGAGGTGAGCAACCCAAACTTGCTGCCAAAGCGTTGCCGTACTAGTTAGTCAGCAACTTGATTATCATTAGCCGCATCTCGCTCTTCCTGATGCAGTTGTGCCCGAAAGGGGCTTACGCCTCATCTGCCATTAAATTTAGGGAAATAGCAGACTGAATAAATTTGGTGGTTTGCAGCACTCCCTCTTGCACACACAAATTCCCTTTAACAAAAGCGTGCCAGCAGCCGTCTCTTCCTCTGTAACCTAGCGACATTAAAAAAAAATTGTTTCGGAGTTGTTGGCTATACTGAACAATGCAACTTTTGTTTTAAAAGAGCTCTGCACTGCCATCTTTAAAAGACACTTTTAAACTCGAGAACATGTATGTACAAATATCCTGAAAAGTTTTATTGCCTCATCATATCAGGGTGCTGACCTCTGGTAAATCTTATATAAAAAAAAGTATTTAAAACTGGGATTTGTTACCAGTCGCTCTTCATTGTATATAGAATTTTATAAATTGTATGCTTTGGGGATAATTTATTTAAAAAAAAATAATAAAAAGTTTTAATTCCACGTCCTATTTGCCAGGTAGCTGCATTTGCTATTCGTTTCTGGAAAGGTACAGATTTCACTTTATGTTTAAAGGGATACCAGCAACAGTGATTAAGTGAAGTATTCTCTAGAACGTCAAATGTACAGTGTATTTTACAGATTGAAAGTTAACTTTCTTATTTGGAGAGACTTTATGAACGTTTTAGAATTGTATAAACGCCTATTTCTGAGCTGCCTTAAACCTTGTATTTTTTATAGAAGGCATAAAAAAGGCCTGTCTTTTAAATATGTATGGCTTTTTTGAATTTTCTAAACGTGTAAATTAGTAAAGAAAGAGCTTTAAATAATGGATGCAGTGAAATTGTTTTCCAGGGACACTTGAACTCTCAGCACCCGAAATGTGGGGGTGGGGGAAGAGAGGCGGGGATCAAACCACAGAAAAACAAACCAAAAAACAGTAAAAAAAAAAAACAAAAATCTGTGTCTGCCTGTAATACTTCACATAGATGTAAATTACTGCTATTCTTACTTTAATGGATAATTACATGCAAGAAGTAAATACAGCTTTGAAAGTACTTCTTTAAATGAGTGGTTGATTTTATAATGCGTTGGCATGGTAACTTGCCAGTGCCAGAAGAGTGCAAAGCAATTCAAGGACGCTGCTCCTGTATATGTACGTGTAGAATTACTTGTGCACCGCGCTTCCCCCGTGCAGGCACGCCGCTCTGGCTGGCGCTTATGGAAGTGCTGCTGGGCGTGCAAACAGGCGCTGGGAAATGCATCACACGGAGGCGGCAAGCGCTTGGGACAAGGCGTCGCTTCGCGCTTGGGGCAGGGGCGCACGCATCAAGGCAGCTGCCACAAAACGCGAAGTTTGCTATTCAGCCTGCCTTCTCCCACAACGAAGAATGCAAAAGTAAACACGCTGAAGGGATCAGCAATTACTAGATCTTGTAATACTGTGCTTAGGCGATGCTTTGCATCGTGCTGAAGCCTGGTTTGCTGCCAGAGCTACTGATCTACACTCAAACGCCCTTAGATAAATAATTACACTCTTAAGCTGTGTCGAGTGCTGATACACTTGACCTTGTAAATAGAAATGTTTGCAGTAGGAATAAACTCCAGCACTGGAAAATCTTTTAAACATTAACACAAAAGAGAGAGCTCAGTCCTCTAGGGATTTGAGTTTGGACTGCGTCAAGCTAGGCACTCACAAAAAAAAAAAAAAAAAAAAAAAAAAAAAAAAAAAAAAAAAGAAAAAAAAGGAAAGTTTATTTATCTTCTATTCATGGTGTTTATTTAAAGCTTTTCGTTTTAAAGGCTATAATTGGAAGGCAAGTCAGAAGTTTAAAGTCTACCACAAATAAACTTTGACTGAGGGGGCGACAGATTAGCAAGATAGTGTCTTTTTCATCTTACCAGATCTTGACAGAGCACAAATCCACATCTGTCTGTTGTATAAATCAACAAAATTAGAAATCCCTGCTTCTGGGTTAGTTATTTCAATGGAGGATTATTTTATTATTTATTTAGGGTGTGAATTTGGTTACGTTGCCCAGCAATAAATGCACATACGTGCACATGCACACACATAAGCCAACCCCAAATAGTTGTGATGCCAAACAAGTGTATGACTATGGTGTGCGGCTATGATCTGAAGTTTGTTTTTAAAGTCATCTGAACGGTTGAGTAAGCTTATTGTTAAAACAAAGCTGGAAACTGTTTCTTCGGGAGGAGGACAGAGTAGTTGGGTGAGACTTGTAAATAGAGTCAGCTTTCTTTACAAAGTGCTGAGTTCACAATGGGGTAAGGATGATCTTAAATACTTCTTGCATACATGACCAGAAACATGCTTTTAGTTTGTCAACAGTTAGCACCCACAAGGACTATTTAACTAGTTGTTGATGAAAAATTAAGTCCCAGCTAAAAGCCTTTATTTTTCTTCATTTAGGAGTAAAGACATTAGCACTAGAAAAGGACTGATAATTAACTGCTACAATAAACTTAAGACTTAATTTTACAGGCTTCTGTCAAAAGCATCTGCCTGAAATAAATCAACACCAAGCACCACTAGGCAGGGAGGACTCATCTGTATGCTTCCTTCTCCAGAAAAAGTGGATTGTTTTAATTTAAGTTATTGTGCAATAAATACAGCTGAACTGATTCTTCCTATGAGCTCCTCTCCATAAGGAGGTAGCTCTGGGTTTTGTTGTATAGTCAGAGTCAGCACTATTTCCAGGATGAATGGCTGCCTGTGTTGCTATTTGTCCCAGCCAAATAAGCCTGTGCAGATGTTGATGTCCATCAAATCCGTATTTCTTTTGCTTGATTTCCAGACAAATGGAAACCTTGAAATGTCAAGTGATGTAGCAAGAACAGATTTAAGCAAGGGAAAGACTTCACCTTTCCTGACAGAGGGAGATTTTTCACAGGAAAGCAAGTTCTCTCATTTGTCTGGCTATTTGGCAGTGCTCTCTGCTGAAGTCCTGTCCAGGCTATCTCTTCCAGGGGGAGAAGGAACTCTGCATCATTTCATGTAAAATAATCCAGTAGGTTCTGATCCCTTTTCATTCCCAGTTACCAGGTTTGAATTCTTGGTGACAGTTTATTTGTCTTTGGAGGCACTTCAGTGACAAATGTTTAAGGGAGTGTGGGACAATGGTGGAGAACAAGGAGGCAGTTCATTGAACTGACAGTGACCATACAGTAAATAGAGGGAGATTCAAGCTTCACTGATCACCCAAGCGCACAGCAAATCTTTTGTATGCAATCACAATGGACATAACATAAGGTCTCTGTTTATTTTCAACAATATACACCAATGTATACAGACAGGCATACATAACTTTAATATTGCTATGAAATAAAACCTTACAATGACCATAAGCAAAGCTCTGGTTTGGCCAAGTCTTTTCATGGTCTCATTGGAAAGCATGATGGATTTTACTTAGAATCTTCACTCCTCCTCAAAGCCGTTGGTCTACCAGATGTCTCACTGCAGACACGCCTCTATAGTGCATATCTTAGATACGGCTGCAAAGATGGCTGCAGGCAGCTTTACAGGTAGGGAACAAGACATTCCATATCAATGTGATGCAAAACTAGTGCTTGGGTTTTGGTTTGGTTTTTTTTTTTTTTTCTTTTTGAGCGCACTGGAGTTTGAGAGGTACTCCAGAAGAGCCAAAGTGCACTTATAATAAATAGTGGGACAAAAAATCATCACCATTTGAGTAATGGAAAATGTTGCTTCAGTGACTGAGTTGCAGAGTCTTCAAATGTCATCAAAAAGAATTTAGATCTTCAATTGATTTTGTTCCTGCAGTAATAACTTCACGCACTTCCACACTGCCTGTGGTAACACACCCATTGCAAGTCCTAGGGAAAGTGGGTAGTTGTGCCACAGAAAACATTTCAAATGGGAAGAGCAATGATTTCATGTCTGTGATACAGATTTGTAAGCAGTGAAGTTGAAAGTTACTGTATTTTACTTGAGGCATTGGCTGTGCTAGACAGTTGAAAAGGCTCAGATTGACTGTCTGAATGACATAAGTAATGTGCTATTAGCATAAATACTTTCTAAGACATCCATTTAATCAATTTCTTAAATAACAGAATGATCTACTACAAAATAGTGGACTGTATACACTATATTTTGGCACAAAGATGGTCATTCTCCCACTAGTAACCAGGGGCTCTAAATAAATGATTTCAACAATGTTTTATTAAAGGAGGACAAGAGCCCTCGAGCTGCATTAATCGGGGAGAAGTCGAGTGGCACTTTTGTTATGGAAATGTTAAACACATAATAGTTCAGGCAAACAATGTGGAGCCACTTCATTCTCTCAGCCATGCTGACACCTCTTAAAGAGGAACTGCAGGGAAGGATGTGGGAAAGATTCGCTTTCTGAGGAAGCTTTCAGCTAATATTTTGATATTTACCTCCAGAATTCAACCAGTGTAAATGTAACTGAAGGGCATAAAAATAAAACAATAAAGAGGGATGATTT